TCCGTCATGTGGCATTTGGGTCTCAAACTGCTGAACTACCGACCTTCTGGTCTGCAGTTCAGTGTCTTAACCACTGAGCCACCTTGTGGCTAATAGCCACTGGTGGACCTCTGTTCCATATGTTTATCCAATTCCTTCTTGAAGCCGTCCATGCTTGTAGTCCTGTGGCAGTGAATTCCATGTGTTAATCATTCTTTGGGTGAAGAAGTACTTCCTTTTATCTGTTCTAACCCAACTGCTCAGCAATTTCATTGAGTGCCCACGAGTCCTTGTACTGTGAGAAAGGGAGAAAAGTACTTCTTTCTCAACCTGCTCTACCCCATGCATAATCTTATAAACCTTGATCATATCACCCCTCAGTCATCGTTTCTCCAAGCTAAAGAGCCACAAATGCTTTAACCTTTCTTTATAGGAATAGTGTTCCAAACCTTTTATCATTCTGGATGCCTTTTTCTGCACTTTTCCCAATGCTATAATATCCTTTCTGAGGTGTGGTGACCAGAACTGTACACAGTACTCCAAATGAGGTTGCACTATCGATTTATACAGGGGCATTATGATACTGACTGATTTGTTTTCAATTCCCTTCCTAATAATCCCCAGCATAGCATTAGCCTTTTTTATTGCAGTCGTACACTGTCTTGACATTTTCATTGAGTTATCTACTACAACTCTTGGTCAGTCTTTTCCAGTTTGGACTCCATCAACGTGTATTTATAGTTAGGATTTTTGGCCCCAGTGTGCATCACAATCCTCCCTGGTTTTCACCACCCTGAACAATTTCCTGTCATCTCCAAATTTAGCCACTTCACTGCTTACTCCCAACTCCATATTGTTAATGAACAAGTTAAAAAGGATTGGACCCAGTACTGAGCCCTGCGGTACCCCACTGTTTACCACCCTCCACTGAGAAAATTGCCAATTTATACTCACTCTCTGTTTCCTATTAATTAGCCAGTTTTTGATCCACAAGAGGACTTGTCCTTTTATCCCATGACTATTGTGCTTACTTAGGAGCCTTTGAGGAACTTTATCAAAAGCTTTCTGGAAGTCAAGGTAAACAACATCTATTGGGTCCCCCTTACCCACATGTTTGTTCACCCCCTCAAAGAACACTTACAGGTTAGTGAGACAAGATCTTCTCTTACAGAACCCATGCTGAGTCTGCCTCAATAGTTTTTGTTCATCAATGTGCCTGCTAATTCTCTCCTTAATAACAGTTTCCACCAACTTACCCAGTAAGGTCCAGTCAAGGTCAAGCACAGAGTCAGGAGTCTAGTTTGAGGGTCAGTCCATACAGCAAGGTCTGAGAATCCAAGAGTTACTTACACACAGGTTCAGGAGCAAGACAAAGGCAGAGTTATGAAACAGTCCAAAGAGTAACAGGTTAGAGGCAGGCTCTAATGCAGTAGCCACAAAGCCAGAGAGATTTCAGCTTGTTGCTTCCATGCCTAACAGCCTCCCTTGGCTGGTTTTTATAGCCATATGCTTAAGGGTCATGGTTGCAGCCAGCTGCTCAGGAGTAATCCTGCAACTACTCAAGTAACTGGCATCGGGCCAGGAGGTGTGCATTTTGTCTCTCTCCTGTAGTTTTGTTTGTAGCCTCCGTTTGTGGTGCTCTAAGGGTGTGGGTGATACTGGAAGGGTTGGAAATGATCAACTGAGTTTCACCTGTTGAATCAGGGCTGGAGGGTCTTGGTGGTTCTGCACCAGCTGTTAGCTGTGAATCCCGACAAGCCTGCACCTCACCTTTCTGCTTGCCAGCTTCTACTGACTCGGAGCTGGTTACATGGGGCTCCTCTTCTCCAGAGGAGTCCTCTTCTCCTGAGGAGTCCTCACTTTTGCTGAGCCCTGGCTGACCCAAAACAATCAGCCATCTTTTTTTTCACCCAAATCAAAGAGCTGGGTACTGGAGTGACTCACCCTGAACCAAGCTCTGACTGGGACGATTGCTTAGAACTGTATATTGCCAAAAAGGGTACCATTTCCAACTGGTTTTGGAATAACTGGTTTTTATTTTTCATTGGTGTGACATTCCAGTAGAACCGAGTAACTGTCTAACTTCTGGGGAAACTGTTTTAATGATCATGTAATGAATCCTGGAGACAAGAACTGACCACAACACACTTGTTGATGCAAATAGTGAACAGAAAGTCTCAGATGTGTTATAAGAATTCTGGTGGAAGACAGGATTAAAAATGAGTTTCTCTCCTTTGCTTGTTGTTGTTTTTTTAGGGGTGATTGTTATTTTTTGACAGAAATAGAGGGCAGCAAGCAGAATGGTGAAAACAGTGAACAAAATCAGGAAGTTAGTGGGGGGGGCTGCAAGCAAGTGTTAATACTTTTTGGAAGCCAGTAGCAAGTGTTAATACTTTTTGGAAGCCAGTCGGGGGCAGTATATCATTGAATTATCGTGGCTTGCTCGAAACGTCTGTCACACCATCAGCTTTAAATACAGCACTTTTTATTCTCCATAGTATTTCATATGCATTTTTGCTCATAGTAGCCATTTTTGTGTAATTTGAAGGGAAGCTTCATGGCTCTTTTTCTACTATGGCTGGAAGATACTCACATCTGGTCAGATTACATGTGTCTGAGGGGGATTTCCTCCATCCTTTTCCTTATTCCTCCAAAATGACAAACACAATCCATTGATACAAGAAATCTGAGAAACCACCAGAAGTCAAAGGTTTTTTTTTCCAGCGGTCAAGGAAATGTCTAAACCGATATAATTATGTAAGCAATGCAGAATGTGACACAACCTTAACAAAGTAATTTTGAAATCATTTGACAGTAGATTTCCCTGTAAGTTCCTAGCCTAGAGCACAGGAAAATCCTTTGCTTTCTAACCGACTTTCTAGTCCATCCTGATTTTTAAAATGTTAAGTACAAGCTGGGTCTCTTGATGCAGCCTGATGGGCACCTAAAGGCGATGCCAAAGCCCCCACAGCCGATAAAAGAAGCTGCCATCAAGAATTTGACATTGAATGTTTCATGGCGTGCGGATCGATGGTAACTCAGAGGAGAGCAAGAGCCGCTATTTACAGGACCAGTGACAACTACTGCACAGCTCCATGAGGTTTCAAGATTGCTTTAATATGACTGGCAATTTAGCTCACATTGTTTCTGACAGCGTGTCAGAAACCTCACTACCTGAATGAATGATAAGAGTTTTCAAAGCATGAGACCCCTCATTTTCAAAAATGGTTGCTAAAAAAGAAACCTGAAACCAGTGCAGAGACTTAAAATATGTAAAAAATGGTGCAAGGGAATGTTGAGAATAGTTTTCACGCTATTCCAAAATATTTCCACCTGTGCTAGTCTTAGATGTCCTCTGTAGGCAACCAAATGGGATTTAGTTAGGCAAGGGATGTCACCTGTGCAAGACTAGCACATTTATCACCTGTGCAAGACTATCACGTACAACCTGTGAAAGATTATCTCCCCGTATATGAGCCCAGGAATACTTTACTTTAATAATAGTGCTCATTTAGCCTACAGGCCTTAATCAGTGTTGAGCCCAGGAATAATCAGATCCATGTTGTGGGAAGAGGGTCAAACTAGTATCTGAAAGACCCAGGCTCGAATCCACACTTGTGCCATGGAAACTCGCTGGGTGACCTTGGGCCAGTTACATTCTCTCAGTCTAACCTACCTCATGGAGTAGTTGTGAAGATGAAATGGAAGACAGGAGGATACTGTAAGCCACTTTGGGTATCCATTGGAGAAAAATGTGGAGTATGAATGAATTAAACAAATAAATGTTGTTTTCCTGACCTGAAACAGCCCTGGAGAACCCTATTTGACCAACTGGGAAAGGCCTCATGTACCACATCAGCATACCTGCATCTCCCAACAAGGCAACTAGCTTCCACTGGTTGAGAAAATGGCATTTGGGATGAAGGCTGTAGCCTCTTCTCCTTGCATGTGATGGTCCCAATCTGAATCAACCTCACATGCCTGACAATAGAGTTCCCAATGAGGGTTGCATGTGTGTGGTTATGCTCAGACTCTTGTCTGGAAGTCAGATAAAAAGAAAAATCTGACACATGCAGGACACATATACCATACCTATAAGGACCTGCTACCTGTGGATCAAGTTTACAAAATTATCTTACATCCCCCTACTGAAGAGCCAATGATTCTAAACATGTTGGGATGCACTGTGGCATGCCATGCATGTTAAGTAGCATTCTGCTCCATGTCAGCAATGTTTCTGGTGATGTCATTAAAGCCACAGGTACTAAGTGCCCATGAACCATCACTAGTTTCTTGTGGACCTGTAAGGGCACACAGATATTAATATTTCACCCAGAGCATGTCTCGTGCAAGAATACTTCCACTTTGCCGATCAGCTTTATAATGAAACAGACCTATTTCAGGACGGTCAAGGCATTCCATAAACAACAGAGTAACAAACCCAGTCTGGCCACCAGTTGTACACTTAGCCATAAGACGGAACAAATCCCACCTTTTCAAAAACTTTCAGATGTTTTCAGATATATTCACACCTTATTTTTTATGTTATGCACTTTAAAAAAAATCTTAGGTGTATTCTTTAAAAACATGAAGTGTAAAGTGGCCTTCTTAAAACGCTAGCTTTGAAACTTGTTTGTAGGCCACTCTCGACCACAGGCAACTTGCATTATTAGCCTATACATACCTGTTCAATTTGCTTCCCATTTTCCATCCCTGTCTCTAAAAGCCATTCATCCAAAGGCTGCTCGGCATAAAAGAATGTTTCAAGGAGTGTTTGCTGATCAAGAGGCTACAGCGCTGCATTGCTCTGCGCCCTTAACATGAAAAGTCGCCACCCACAAAACAGAAATCTGTGCTATTGTATTGTAGGAAACAGATTGGATGGGATCCCAGATTGTGACAGTGGAGAGATTTCACGCATTAGCTTTTCAACTGAGATGAAATGTGAATGTACAACTATTTGCCACTTCAGAAATGTCTACTCTAGTTTGCTTGATGCTAAGCTTTATGATTTTCTGCAGGTTAGTCAATATACATTTGCTATGTGCAGCTACCGAGAGAAAAAAGCTGAGCCACAAGAGCTGCTGCAGCTTGATGGATACACAGTGGACTACACGGACCCACAACCAGGTAGACAACATTGCTCATATGTTTGTTTGCTGAACAGTTATGGACCCCCCAATTACAGCTACTTTTTATTCCTGCGCACTTTGATGCAGAACTCTTATTTTATAGATGCTGCAGGAGGGTTTCTTCTTAAATGGTATCCTAGTGAGCCTTCTCACGCTAGCCATATTATGTGATAACTCCTATTGATTTCAGTGCAGCATACTTCCGTGTAATTAATAAAACTGTCTAGGCCTTCCCATTCATAACAGTCTCTAAATTGTAGCCATGGGCAATTGCCTGACTGCCGAAGTGGGTAGAACGTCTTTCTTCTTCATCTATCCCTAGTATGAGATTACTGGTTTTGAGAAAAGAGAAGTCACATGGTTCTTTCTTCCAGCTTTGATCTGGTGAGCAGTCTCTCAAAGATGGGCAGCAGAAGTGCTATGCCTTGAGAGAAATGAGGAAGGAACCATGCTTCTCTCTAGCCATAATCCTGCTTTGGGGATTCTGGCAAAACAGGATTCTTTCCCAAATGGACAGTACTTAGAGAGCATTGGGGAAGGGCTTAGGCAGTCATACTGGTGGTGATGTGGTCTTGGGCAGGAGGGATGGGGTGGGACCAGCCAGCAAGCTGGTCCATCCCTTTGGTGGGAGCAGTGCACTAAGGTTGGATAATCAGTTAATAGGGTGACAAGGTGAACCTCAGACCAGAGACCCGAGCTATGGTGCTTTCATGGGGTTGGGATAGGAACCTTTGAGGGGTGCCCTTAGCCTTGACCCAGCAGCTTGGGGGATAGGACATGAGCACTAGCAAATGCTTGGCAAGGAAGAACCAGGGCTGTACACAGTTTGACAGACCGGGTCTTGGAGCCAGATTGTTCTTACCCAGATGACGAGGGATGTGCATACAGAAGAGCCCTGACTCTTCTGCCTCCCATCAAGCACCTATACCACAAAGACAGGCATGGAAAATGTTAACTGCCCTTGACTACAGCGGGTAAAGACTGAGTGGCACATAACAAAAGTTGCCCTTCCATTATCCCCACCAATACTGTCAACTCCCCTTATTCTGTGTTTGCCCGCAAACAGTGTTTTGCTCCCTGACTCTAACCATGTCACAGCCTGGGGAACTCCTACCCCACCTTCCTGAGTAGATATAAATTACCTGCCTACCATTTTTCTTCTCTTCTCACCTTGACACAGAGAGTACTCCATCTTTCTGTGTTATACCTCTGAGCATGCCAGTCAGAGCTGCTGCTGAAACGTCAGGTCCTATAATGCCAAGACCATGGCCATACAGCCCAGAAAATCTACAACAACTAATAACCATGTTATTACTGTGCAATAAGAGTCATTGTACACATTCTGTTATTAGGCGATTTTCTGCAAAATGTTTTAGAATCATCGACTGCCAGTGAGTTTTGTTGTTTTTGTTGTTTGACATCCTAGCTTAATTTCTTTTTGAATAAAGGCCATTTCCCCCAGAATTCCACCTCCTGTGTTCACTGGCCAAGCAAAAGCCACCTAGCTCATTAGGAGAGGCTTTGAGGAGGTTGTCAAAGGCTGCAGCAGGAAAAAGGAAGTAGATAAGTATCATAGCACAAAATAGGATTCATAGGATCATAGATTCATAGGATCTAGGTAGCAGTGAGTGCATATGACTCTCTTTATTTTTAAAAAACTTATGTATGTTGTCATAGATAATGCAGTTGAAATACAAATAATGTTGGGGGAAATGCGTACTTTTAACAGAAAGTTTTTGACCCAAGGAAAGAGGAAATGGTGTGAAAGACTCACTGGTTCATTTCTCATATGGGATATGTTAAAAAATGAAATTGATTTATTCAAATTGATCCAGCGAGCTTTTGAAATTTGGTTGCATCTGTAGATCTAAGCCATGAATACTGTGTCTGCTCATGCTGCTGTTTCAGTGACTGTCATTTTTTGTATTTTCTTCAGGTTTGGAGGGTGGCAGAGCATTTTTCAATGCAGTGAAGGAAGGAGACACTGTGATTTTTGCAAGTGACGATGAGCAGGATCGTATCCTGTGGGTCCAAGCCATGTACCGAGCTACTGGACAGTCGCACAAACCTGTGCCACCCACTCAAGTTCAGAAGCTTAATGCTAAGGGAGGAAACGTACCCCAGCTAGATGCCCCCATCTCTCAATTTTGTAAGTAAAATATATTCTTAGAAGCAGAAGATTTGTTTCTGAAAGGTTGCTTCAGCATAGATATTCATGTGCAGGGGAAAACGAACCATTTTTTAAAAATTCCATTGGTGTACTTTTACATTTGAGGATTTTTTGCAGTAAAGTGAGAAACAAATCCTTTGGGGGAGCTGTCAGAAAAGCATAAAATGCAATACTTGATGGAAATTAATGCAGAGATGAAATTTCAGAAGGGTATGAGAAGTTTCAGGAGGACGTACTAGCACTTTGTACGATAATACACCCATGTACACACTACTGTCCCTCCTCGTTCCTCCTCTCCACTTTCCATTTCTTCTGGGAAAAGTAACTAGAAGAGCCATGTTCAGTCCCATAGAAAACAGCTATTACATGTTGCAATGCAGAGCTATTCTATAGTCTGTTAAATATTGTTGCTTTAATCCAAGGGAGCACAGACTCACACTACCAGCTTGCACCCTGGGAAAAGAGGACGGAGTTTTACAATGAGCAGCCCTTGTTGCTTTTATAAGCAAATATATAGAAAATGCATCAGTTCAGGTGCACCTACTATGCCCTTAAATTAGCTGTAGGTCATAAAGGTTTGAACTTTTACTTAATCATTTTCTCTTAATGGTTAGATCAAACACATGTATGTAGAAGAACAGTGACTTCTGCCCACCAGCAGCCATCACCCCAAGTTAAAATATGGCCTTTCATATATTTAAAACAAAGTTTCTTTAAAGGTTCGCATCCATAGCTGTCTCTGTGCGCCGTTTAGTTAGTTATTGGATTTATATGCAACCCGCCCCAAGCCCCTAGGTGCCCTGAGATGAGATATCCAAGTTGATAGACTTCTCACTACTGGTAGTGTTTATTTTTCCATATGCCACAGAGTAAATCTATCAAAATGTATAATATTTGAGAGAGAGGGAGACCATATTTTTTTCACATGTTTGCATAGCTTGGACTCTTACCCGTGTTTCGTTCCTATTGCCCAGCAAAGCTTGATTTTCATTTCAGTATGAATGAAAACATGGCATGGTGCAGGTTGCTTGAAGGGTTTTCATTTCATGTTTCCCCTTTGACTACCTAAATACGTTACACAGGGAGAACTTTCATTGATTTAAGTGGCAGTTTGACTGACTGACTGATGACTGACTGATTGACTGAAATGCTTCCGCATTTGGGCCTTGTAATGGCATGTTGCACCCCCAACTCCCCACCCCCTACCCCTATCCTTTAGGCACAAATAAAGAAAAAAAGTTTAGGAGCAGGCCATGTTCATGATTCGAATTATATGACACTCATGTGGCATAGGTAAGGTAAGTAGCAGCATACATTTCTGAACTGTTTATTCTAAGACACTATGGAGCAGTTACGAACATGAAATTGAGCCAACTTCAGAGGACGGCGGAAGACAGGAGGGCCTGGCGGGAGCTGGTCCATGGGGTCGCGAAGAGTCGGACTCGACTGTGCGACTGAACAACAACAACAACAAATGGAGGAGTTGGGTGGCCTCTCCTTGCTTTTTCAGTGCTGGGAAGCTATTCTAAGACTAGGCCAGAGGAATTTTTTCCCTTTGCGTAACCCTATAGTCTTCCCAATGATTGTGTTAGTCCCATCTCTGGCATCCATGTTTTCTGTCTTTACCTAGCTGGACAGCCCAAAATGTATGTGACATCTGGAAGTCTGCATAGCTTGGACTCTTACCCGTGTTTGATAACTAATGTCCAGCAAAGCTTGATTTTCATTTCAGTATAGTGGTTAAGAGTGGCAGACACTAATCTGGAGAACCGGGTTTGACTCCCCACTCCTCCACATGCAGCTGCTGGTGTGACCTTAGGTCAGTCACAAGTTCTCTCAGAGCTGTTTTCTCAAGAGCAGTTCTCTCCGAGCTCTCTCAGCCCCACCTACCTCACAGGGTGCCTGTTGTGGGGAGAGGAAGGGAAGGTGATTGTAAGCGGCTCTGAGTGAAGGGGGGAGGGTATAAATTCAGTCTCTTCTTCTTCTGTGACTAGCAAGAGGTTGTAACTATGAGGATGCAACACGAGGTAAAAGCAACCTAATTTGGCTTCAGTTGACTCTATGCCTTGTGCGATGCCTTAAATTTGTCTCCAGAATTAATTAAAGACTTCCAAGTTTTAACCTCTCTTCTGAAAAGAAGTTTTGAGAGATATCAGAGACTTCATTTTTGGACTTCATTTTTCAGCCCCAGATGTACCTCCTTTGACACGATTAAAAAACAGGTGTTTCCTTTGCTAATACCAAATTTGAGACATCCAAATTTCCTAGGTCCTGGAAGTCTCCATGACAAGAGGCCTGAACGTCCATGCTGCTTCCTAGGTACTTGCTCTGCCCCCTTTTTCTCCTCATCATCCCTTTCCAGTGTTGCTATCATAGGGGAAAGGGATTGGCTTAACTTCAGAAATTGATATATACTGGGAGGGTCCACCAGTCAAAAAATGGGGCAGTGGAAAATCTAGATGAGTTCCATTGCACCAGATTACTCCATTACTTGGGGATCAACGAAGCATAACACAGAATGCAGTCCCCCCCCCGTCTATCCCCTGCTTTCAGCCCTGTATTTTGCAACTCCATGTGAATCAAATTTCAAGGCAAAAAAGGGAAGACACAGATATGTCATAGAATCATAGAGTTGGAAGGGGCCATACAGACCATCTATAGACCATGTCATGCAGATAGGGTTGCCAGGACTGGCCTGGCAACCAGCAGGAAACTAAGAGGCTGGGACATGGGAGGTATCAGGCAATGGTGTAACATCACTTCCTTTCTAGGAACCGGCTGAAACTCAATAGTAAGCCAGTTTCTAAAGAGGCAAGATGTCACTGCTGGCTTTTTCCAGAACTGATGTCACACTGTCAGCTGACAGACTTTTTCAGATTTTATTTTTCTTCCGCCTAGCAATGTTACACTCAGATTATGCATTATTGTGCATTACCTCCGTGAATAGAATATGTGGCAACTGCTCACTTCATTACCTAGATATAATGTACCTAATGATCTGGGTCCCTAGATTCTAACACTGAAACAGTATGCTCAGCATCCACTTTCCCGAAGGTGAACAGCTGGTGATACTTGTTAAGAGGAATAAGGTGAACACTGTGTGATAGGAGTTCTTTGGCAATTCTTTTTTTACTTCCTGGTTTGGCAATTTAATTCCTTCCTTCTAGACATAAGAAAGGGAACTGGAAGAAATGTAGAAACCAAAGTGGACTTCTGCACATTTTTCATCTTGCTGTAGTAGCACACAGGACATTTGAATGAGATTCCATTCCAGAAACTTGTCTCTAAATGAGTGTCACAAGGTATGACAGCAAATAGGAGAGGGAAGATGGAGGCAATCTTTGTATGCATTCCCATGTTTTCTAGCTTCCTCTTTGTTGTCTTATAAAGTGATAGAAATTAACAGATACTTCCTACAAGACAGTCATAGCAAAATGTTGTGAGGGTTAAAGAATGCAGAATTTTAATGACCTGATCAGGTGCAAGTTACTAATTGGTAACTTGTATGGCTGTAGGTAGCTGCAAATCTACCACTAGAGGATGCTAGAGGTAACCAAGAATCTGGTAAGTGGAAAAACTACCAAGAGGTAAACGTGATCAGTTTCATTTCTTTATCTTGAGACGGAGTGCACAAGGATGGAATGTGCTGAACTCAAGGTCTTGCAAACGCTTAACATGCGCACAGGCCTTGTTGCCTAAACCCATGCATCTCTGCTGCTTTTTGTGCTCACCAGAATTCGAGTAAGCTCGGGCTGTGAAGGGTCATGCTTCTTAATGCCTGCATATTTGCATTTACTCCTGTGTCAGAATACCAAGCTCTTTTTAAAAATACCTATATATCAGTGGGCAATAAAGTCATATATGCACTTAGAATACCAAAAATGAGTCCTTTTTATGCACACATGGTGATGACTGTCAGATATTATAGTTCAATAAAGCAACTCATTCAGTTCCAATATAAATCAAGTATTGCATTTTAAAGGGTTTTTTTTCTTGTTTGCCTGCCAAAAGGTAAGGAGCGTTGTGAAATGCTTTTATTCTTGTGCATTTAGCTTGCATATTCTTTTTATTTACGTTTCCTTGTTCACGGTAGGATGTAGTTCTCAGTACATGAAAGACTTGTAAAGAAAATACACATTATAAGCTTTTTTAATTAGTCTAAAAATTTTGTTAATACTTCCATGGATAACATAAATTGCCTAAAGATGGCAAAATTGCTTTGTGTTCCGGTCATATGATGAAGCTGTCTGTAAAACAGAAACTTGAGAACAATACACTTTAGAGTTGGGAAACTTAGGAATAATACTGAATTCATTTGGTTCCCACCTAATTTGACTTAGCAAATGTGAACTTTATGTGACGATTGACTTCCCATTTGTTAGCTGGCTTCCAACTTTGAATGAAACAGATAGCTCTTTAAAAAAAAATGGAGTGTATTTTATGTGCATTTTCAATGCAGAAAACAATAGATCCTGCTATTCATCAGTTTTACAATCCCTTTTTTATGGGTGACTGGTACTTTTTGCTGTTTTTTGCTTTTATAAAATAACTAATTTAGAAGTTTTATCTTGTTATCTGCTCTCTTCAAAAGGAAAACAAAAATCCCAAAGCCATTTGCTCTTTACCGCCAAAAGAATGCACAATACCCTTTGACAATATATTTACGTTTTATGAAATGGCCACTTGTCTGGGGATATTAATTTTTGTCCATTCTGTATTATTACTGGTACACTAACCAGAATTCACACATGCGCACACACACACACACACTCACTCATACAAACACAATGCCACAGATTTCATTTTTAAAATTATTTTAAAGTTCTTTTAAACATGAAAGATTGTTCAGTAATTGTTTCACATATCACTTGTGGTTTCCCTTTTCTTTTTCTACTTCATTTCAGTTTCTTTTGAAGCTTTGTTCTATTTAATGATGTTGATCATATCATGTGCAAAAGATTTGGCTGTTCCTTTTGAGA